AAATAAATATAGATAATATAAAATAAATATGGATATGATTTATAAATCAATTATCCAATGAAAATTAATTATAAAAAATCATGTAATATGTTAAAATTCATATCACAACAATATAATTTTGAACGATTTTGTATGGTGTTTTTAAGATGTAATATCTTTGCATCTAGTGAATCAAATTCAATGATTTTGATACCATTGGATGCACCTTGACTAGACCTTCTAATGGTATCAAATTCATTCAATTTGGTCCACTATATACAGAGATATTTGCATTTTTTTAAACTGAATATTTTTTCTTTACCTTTTGTCACCAGGTTCGAAGTTTACCGCAATTCTGTTAGTATTTTAAATTTCTGATGATTAAATAACTTTTTTTGTGTTCTAACAAAAAATATTTCTTGCAAATTTTACAACTATAAAAAATATAATTATTTTAAATTAAATAATTATAGAAAAATAAATATATTAGTATAAATATAAAAAAATAAATATAATAATGAGAATATAGAAAATTTTAATTTTATTTTATTCAAAATAATTTAGTTAAATTTCTTTATAATTATACTTTTTATAGTTATATTCTTATTATTTAATATGATTTTTTCTATTATTAAGCTATAATATTTAATATATATATTTTCATATTCTCATATTTGATAATTCTAATATCAATACAATATCTTATTAATATAATTATCCAATTAACAATTAGTAATTTGTTTAATCAATTATTATATGATAAAGATAGAATTAATTTTATTATATATATAATATTTAATATAAATAATAAAAATTTAAAATTTAAGAAAAAAATTTATTAGATTATACTTATTATTAGTTTAGTTATTTGAATAAGTTTTTATATAATTTTTTGCAAAAAGCAAAATAATAATTTTATTTTTAGATATTTAAATAATTTGATTAAATATAAATTAAAAATAATTTATATATAATTTGAATTTAGATTTCTGTATTATATATATAATCAAAGTTTTTTATAATAATCATATTGAATTAATATTTTTGGACCAATATATGGGGCTTGTATTATAAATTTCGCTATATAGAAGTTTTAAATAGTTAAAAATTGTAAAAATTAATATATTAAAATATATATAATACCATTATAAAAGATTTTGATTGTAGTATTATTTGAAATATATATATATATATAATTATTGAGCTTAAATATTTTAATATTATTTAAAATTGGTTTTATTTGATATTAATTAATAATAAAATTAAGAAAAAATTTTTTTAGAACATGTTATTACTTGAAATTTTGGATGTATATGTAGTAAAATGTAAAAAGTATTTTAATTATAAAATTACCAAGAACAAAAATAAGTTGCCAAGAAATTATATTTTTTGAAAAAAAATTTTATAAAATTATAACAATATTTAATAATACAAAACTTTAAATGCATAATCATATATATTTGAAAACTATTAAACAATATTTAAAAGTATAGTTAATATATTGAATTAGTAGATAATTGGTGTTACTTTGTAATGCATTGTACTACCGGTAGTACGTATAAATACAATTCATTAATTCAGCCATAATAATAACGATAATATTATAATTTTAGAGATGACATCTGACGAAAAAAATTTTTCTCGATCGATGTAAAATAAATTCGGGAACATTTTTTTACTTAGAAACAAAGTTATTTACTTGATAAAATTTATGATTATGAAAGACCTATTCCATTATATTCACGGATTAAATTTGTATTCAAGTTTATTGAATTTATATAAAATATAATCGTTGTGTCTTTTTTCCGACATTTTATGTCGAGAACTGTAATTAAAATATTTTCAATTCGACTTTTCCAGAAACTATTACATTATGACGATGCTATGATTAATAAATTTTCTAGTTAGTCTTTATCTTTCATAACGTTAACTTTCTAAAAGTAACCTTTGGACTAAATTAAGGTTCTCCAAAAGGGGGTATTTTTATGCAGCACTGTGCGGTAATTAATTTTTGTAATTTTCAAAAAATAATATTGAAGAAAAGTTTTAGTGCTTCTTACTGTTATTCAGATTTCTTTCACTCTTGTTGTTTGCTTGTGCACTTTTCATTACAGATGTTGCAAAAGTAAAATCATTACACTAATAATGTGTGACTTTATAATTTATCAAAACTCAACTTGCGATTCTCTTACAAGAATGCCAACATTGAACTTTGTCAAAAATAAACGAGATTTCTTTTATTCCATTTCTGTCTATTTAATGATCGATTCGATCCATCCGTTTGTTGAGTTTTTGACGTTGTTATAATATATTATTATTATTATTATTATTATTATTATTATTATATTATAATATCTATATTAAAATATTAAAAATGAAATAAACCTAATAGTACAAAATGATGAATATAAAAATTGATGTGTATATACAAAAAATGATATGGATATCTATCATTGCATTTTATTATCATGATATTTTACGAAGACAAAATTTTATTTTATTCTGGCAATTATAATACAGTCATCTCGTATTCTCCCCATTCAGATTCGTCAACTAACGAACTAGAAGGACGACTACTCCCCATGGCTTCAACATCATCCGAAGGGCAATAATATTGACTATAAATCGAATTTTCACGTGCATATTGAAAAGCAGTCATATCACCATTACTATTATTTGTCGTCAATCTACTTCTACTATCATAAGTCGCGTAACTCGAGGTTGCAGTTGAAATTGTATTACCAGGAGTTGAAATCGCGACACCAATTGAATTAGAATCTTCATCAACTCGACCCAATGTTGATATTTTGCTATTGCTAGTAATGGTATGCCGATGACCTCCACGTTGTGGTCGCTTATAATTGTAGCTATGTGTGAAACTTGGCAATGAAGAAGTGGTAGTTGTCATTGGATTAATGGCACGTTGTTTGGGTGCCAAGAATTTACGCACAAACCAAATCATGAATCTATTGTCGCCTTCTTGTTGCTGTTGCTGTTGATGGTTGTCAAGGCTTGACGAAGTGCCAAAATCTTTCTGCATTGGACGAAGTGATGAAGATCGCGTCATGGGTGATGTTGGAGGCATTAAATGCGATGCCGAGCCTGGGGAGCTTGGAGATAATGACATTCGAAATGAGGGAGACATTGGAGTGATTGGTGCTAATGGGGATGGTGGTGGACTGAATGTTGATTTTGACATTGACCCAATTTGATCCATATCGAATCCATATTTTTGTACAAGTTCTCGTCGCATTTTATTAAACGCATTATGCACTGCTGGATCAAATAGAAATGCTAGGCAATTCAATGCACCTATAATAATATTATCGTATCGTTATTATTATTAATATCATTTAATACTTAATGGAAAATAATGAAAAATCATGGAAAAGCAAATAAATTGATAAATACCTGGAATACATGAACCAATCACCGACCAAAGAATAACCCCGAAAGGAATATCAGCACTCGTGAGATGTGCCCAAATATACATCGCAATGATACCAGCAACACTCAAAACAGGAATACACGCGTATAGTGAGATTCGACTGACCAATCTCAAAACGAGTAGTTTTTGCTGTTTTGCTTTAATTGACATTGTGGTACTTCCAGTCTGGATAGTCTCGGCCAATTTTCTATTTTCAAATACAATCTTGAATACCACGATAATCAATACTGCCGTGCAATAAACCATGGCGAATAGAATTGGTATGATGAATGCGAATAATTGCCAATAGAAAGTCTCCTTGCTGGTGCTATCACGATAATAGCAGTCCTCTGAATGTTCGTCGTATCCAAATCGACCAAGTACCAAGGGTGGAACATTGAGTGCTAATGCCGCCAAAATCGCTACCGGAATATACCATCGATCCGAGAATTTTGAGATTTTTCGTCGATGTAAGAAAACCAACTAATTAATTACAAGAAGGTTTATTAATCTTCAAATTTTCTATTGATTCTCAATGATGATGATTAATAATAATTACCACATACCTGTAGGTTGAATGCAATCATTACGGTCAAAAATAAATAAACTTGAGGAAGGAAAGACATTGCGGCGGAAATTCCCGTGCATAAAGGTGTATCCGCTGGTGTAATATCAGTGTACAGAATGATTGAAATGGCATTCAATATATCGACAAATGAAATGACGGCGGTTAATCGTAGAGATACTCGATTCACTAATTTCCTATCATAATGCCACATTGAAGCTATGACTAGCAGCACTATTAGTCCACCTACTATACTCGCTATACTCAAATAGTTATTAAGTTTGATGATAATTTTTGTATGATCTTCGTACACAGCATCGTCTGTAGATGTTGGTTGCGGTTCATCAGTTGAAGAAGAGGAAGGTTCAACAGTAATATCAGGTGTAGTGGTAGTAGCAGTATTATCATTATCATTTACTACATCGGAGTTTGTTGATGGGGTTTGCTGTTGTTGCTGCTGCTGGGAATTTGTCGGAGTCGTCTGAGTTTGTATTATTGACAGCGTCGGTGATAATGATATTGTTGCTGATGATAAATTTTTCGACGTGTCAGCGTTCTCCACCGCATTTATTAGAAAAGAGACTGCAACTATAACGCGTAATATCACTTTAATGTTTTTCATTATATGCATATTTGATAGCTTATGGTTGGATTATAATTGATTCGTTTTCGTATTAATGTTAATGTTGTTATATTATAATCTATATGTTTATTTACAATGCGAAAGAATAACGACTTCCAAGACGAAAAAGAGAAAACGACGACGACGACGACGACAACGAAATAAATGGGAAATAATGATGAATTGAGGGTGAATTATCTGCTGCTACTACTTATAATATGAACAGATATAAACAAAAGAAAAGAATGTAAAAGTTAAAATAGGTACAATTAAAATTAAATTGGCTAGTATTCGTATAGCAAAAATTAGAAAGAAGAAGAAAGGTGTAAAAAGATAAGAAAAAGCCGAGAAATAGAGAAACCGTTGATATGCAATTAACTTGTTTTACCGATTTGGAACAATGCTCAGTACATTTTTCTTCCACTAATAGTGTTATATAACCTGCAGCTGCACACATTAGAAACTTAAAACAAACAACTTTTTTTTGGAATATTTTATTTATTTGTTAGCATAAATTCATCCTTAATTGGATTGATTGAACTGAAAGAAATAAATGAATTAAACTGAAAAAGGTGAAGAAGAAGTATGCAAGCTGCAAGTACCAGTAGATTGTGACGATAGAAGCTAAAGGCGTTTACGATGACGCGTGTTTACAGTACATGTAATATAGTGTCGATATTTCATTTAACGTTAAGTATCTGTCGATATCCGTACATGTCCGAATTAGTATATTATATTGGTATTATTCTTGTTGAATATAAATTATTGTGATGAATGTCGTGCAAATTCTCTTTTAGGCAGTATAGAGAGATCTTGACAATAAGAAATAAGATAATGATTCTCTTGTTTTCCCTTTTATTTACATTACATTTTACACAGTTTGTCAAGTCTACATTGTTGATTTTTTTTGATATATAATTAATCTTTTGTTCTCTCAGAAGTATTAGTTTGCCCCTATCCATCAAAAAAAGAGATTTTAAGCTGACAGACATTCAAGAAAAACATTATTCCTGAATAAAAACCGCGATTGAATTTTGTTTTTTCATTGTTCTTTTTTCCACATGATTAAATTTACCAATAAAGTAAACGCTTCAATCGATAACCTTTTTTATATTATTTTTAATTTTTAGATTGACTAGAGAAAATTTGATGCAACTTCAATTTCGTACACACAAAAAGAGTATATATGACTGGATAACACCCTATCTTGAACATACGTACGTACTTGTTTGTTGTTATCGTTATACATGTATGTTATTACATTAAAGCAACTTGGTACGTAACTCCACGCAATTCAAATTTCAAATGATGACTTATGATACCATTCACCCAAATATTATTAGATTTCTGTATACTCGTGCGTACTTGTACATGTACATGTACATATAATGATAACTTTATTGTTACGTATATAAAATGTGTATCGTGGGGATCACCGTTCAAGGGTAAACACCGCTTATTCGCTTATTTCGTATCCTTCATCTACCGAAAAGTATAGCAACCGAATATAACGTTTAATCTAATTGGATCACGTTATTGTTCCACCATTTTTTTTCAATACGTAACGATAATGATGACAATAATTAATCGATGCTAACGCCAAAAATTACCAACAGATATCTCAAAATTTCAAATCGAACGTTTTTCATTTTCCGTGTTTGGCATTCCTATTTCTTCTGGTTGGCTCTCGAAAAATTTACATGCATAAACGCATCAAAGAAAATATCCAAAACTGCACTACTTCGCATCTTTACCATTAATATTTTATTATGCTAAGATGAAGAAGAATGACAAAAAAACATAATATGTCTCTTTCACTTCATCCATTTTGCCACTCGTCTCTCATTGTTATTTCAATATAGAATAGTACGTATGAAGAAGTTTGAATGCATAAATGGATAAAAAGTGAATCGCAAATTATGTACGTGGAGTTTTTTTTTTTTTGCTTTATTCTCTCATTTTGGCAGAAAAAGAAAACTGAAAGGTAGCTGATCGCAGAAAATATAAGGTCATATGGGACTGGTTCTTCACTTTTTTCACAAGCAATGAAATTCATATATAAATACAGTACTAGAGTTTTGGGTTTCTTTTAATTGTTTGGTATTTTTCTATCACTCTAAGTCTAAACAGTAATTTGTGTTTCATCCAAACAAACTTGGGTTAAAGCGGAATTAGTAGTGAAGACTAAGTCAGTTAACAAGAGACAATTGTTCACTCTAGCTGCATTTAGTGCGAGACAGTTGTCCTTTCATGTACAATCATACTGATACTTCATTATTCATTATAATGATGACTAATTAATTAAAATCTCAATGCAACAAGAACACTTGTAACGATTTTTATAATAAATTCTCGGTATATACGTATAACGATGTTTTTACTGTTTTATTGTAACATTCATGGATTCGTGTTGCAACATTACAACAATTCATTTTTAGTTACGTTAGAGTGTATACGTACTATCATGATTACAGTCAAGCCTCGATATAACGATGTGTTGGTGATAATTATATTACAATTTACAACATTGCCATATTGTTACAACGTTCTGTATTTTGCGATTTCTCAACATTTATTATTGACGCTCCAATTTGTCACTAGAATTGAACCGGATGAAGGGTAATCTTTGGATGGCACTTTTTGCTGCAACTGTATAAATAGAAGATAAAATGGATTTTAAATATAGTTCCCCTAAATATATAAGCTATCATTTTATTTTATCGAGTCCCAAAACCCGTGATATGTATAAAAGTTTCCTAATCGTCTTTATTAAGATTCAACCATCGATAAATTGAATTTACAATTGTTTCGCTACAGTGCCCAGTAAGATAGTCGATTAGCTGCATTGACAGCAACTCGTAAATCTTTGGCCATCAGTGTGGTTACAAAGCCGCCTTTGTAGTCATTACTCGACGGACATTCGGTACTGGATTATAAGTATCGCTGGACCAACATCTGCCCATTGAAGAATAAGAATGCTGGCTAGTAATTTTGGGTCCATTCCTAGTTTTATACCGACAGTGTATAGTGTTTTTTCCCATTTGAGAAAGTATTAGTTGGGCGCAATCAAATCTTCGGTTGTAGATACGCCTACCATAAATGTTAGAGTTGCGGCTTCGGCACCCACAGTTCTTGTAATTATTATTAAAAGAACAGATTAGAGAATAGCAAGAGATATAACACTAATAATAATACACGAATATATTTACCCCCGAAAACGGGCGCATCAGTAGCACGTGCACCATTAGCGATAATAGCTTCCGCGACAGATTTTGATCGATCGTACTCGAAGATTATCCTTGTCTACCGCGTGCACTAATCCTTCTTCACCTATGTATACTTTTTCTACGTGTGGTGAATTCGGTAACATTGTAATCACCACCGCTGCTGCTTGAGCTACCTCCTTAGGTGTTCACTTTCATTACATGATGACAGGCAGGACTCCTTGGTCTGTATTTCAAGATGGGCTGTTTAAAGCCATTACACTAAACCTCGTCTCCATGAATCGTGTTCAACGCACTTTTTGACTCAAAGACCCAAAACTTAAGAACAATCAGAAACGATCAACGAAAAATTCCACAGTCGTTCGACCCTTTGAAATCGTCCGATATTCGCAAATCCAATTATGGATTTTACGTTTACAACAACAAAAAACATTCTTTTACTATTGCATTTATTCATGATGAAATCAGTAACGGCCCCTATGAAAAAACCAAGAACATGCAACAGGTGGCAAAGTTCGCCTCGGGAGATTTTCAAAAGACAATTCGATGTGTCAGTTGGAAGACGATTTATGTGAGGTTTCGAGTGTTATGGTGCATTTTTATCAAACATTTATATTATGAATCGGATCCGCTCTATAGAATGTGCTTGATCAAGTCACCGAAACAATCAAGGAAGCAATTAAACTATTTCATCGGTTTGACGGCAAGAAAAAGAGCCATGATCAGTTTTACGACTTGATGCGAATATTTTTTTGTCTACCGTCTCTGATAAGCGTTCGATTGCGAATTGGATTCGTTCTACATTCAAAAATCGCCTTCCAACTGACACTCGAAATCTTCCACAAATAATTTTAAATGGGCCATATTGTCTTTTGAAGATTCCGCGAGGCGAACTTTGTCGTCTGGTATATGTTTTTATTTCTTTTGCATAGGGGCCGTTACTAATTTCACCATGAATAAATGCGGTATAACATGCTTGATCAAATACACTCGAAACAATCAAGGAAGTCATAAAATTATTGTTCCAATACTAGAATCATAGATAATATAAATAGCATAGCGAAAATTTTAACTAATGCTAATCCTTATTACTGTTATACGTCGTTTCGGAATTCACGTCAATTCCGAATTGACGTACGTCGTTTCAGAATTCCAAAATGACGTACGTC